GGTAGAATCAGGTTCAGATAAGCTCAGAGTTGGACTGAAGGGGAGAAAGCAATGCATAAGAGTAGTGTCCAAGCTGAGCAGCCTGCGGAAAGGTTGAAAGCCCGCAGCTGATTGCGGCCTGCAAGAGTGTGTGTGTGTGTCCACACATATCTACAATGTAGGGGACTCTGACCATCTTTTAAAATGAGCTCACACGGCTGGCTCCTCCTCCTATCCTCAAGGCTACCTCCTTGAGTCTCTGCACAGTTGCCAGAATTCAAGGCTTGGACGGGCCACGGCCAAGACCCGGGTCAGGCCCCCACAGCCAACGGCATGGAAATGGAAGAACAGAGGGAGGTTGCAGCTGGGGGTCAGCTGCGGCGGCTCAGATTTCACAAGCCGTCACCTTTCTTGGTGAGGTCCCCTGGCACGGTCATCAGTTCATGAGCACTGGCAGCGCCCAGCACGCGTGGGGACTCTCAGTTGGGCCCTGGGATGGGGCCAAGCATCCGAGAAAGAAGCTCCTGAAAGACCTGCCTCGAAGGCTGGCAATGTTGGTGTGATTTCAGGGCTGCTGGGAAGCCCTCTGGTCCCCCAAATGCATGAATAATGCTTGGAATTCTGCCTTTTGAGATTCATTCCTTTGGCTTTGTGTGGTCTGTCAAAATGACAATCTCTTGGAACATGTGTGCCCCTGGATCCTTGTCGGTAATTCACAACCCAGTGTGAGGGAGAGGTTCAACTCCCTCCTGAGAGCTGGCATGGCCTGTGCATGGTGGTGGGATGGGAGGGGGGCGAAGACAAGAAGGGGAGCGGATGCAGGGAGGGGAGAAAGCTCTTCTGTTCTCAGGTGCTGCCCCTCCCTGACCTTGCGCCCACCGAGCCCTGCTCACAAAAAACCACGGTCATCAAGAGCGCCCATTCTCTGCGGAGGGGACGGGCACAGCGCAGGCTCGGGCCCAGACCCACCGAGTTGGTGGTGGTTCCACTACCTGCTGTCTGAGTGACCTAGGCTTTCTGGGAGTGTTCTCATCTATAAGATGGGCATAAAGCGCCTACTTTGTGAGTCTTTTATTTAGATTAAAAGATGAAATACATGCGTGTGGCCCCGTGATGGCTGGCACACAGGTGCTGTCCTGAGAAGATGCCAGGTGAGGGCACAGCTAAGTGATCCGTGCAGAGGGGACATCTGGGGAGGCTTCCCAGAGGAGGTATCTGAACAGTCATCTGTGGCTGTGTTGGCTGATGGGCCTGTTGCCTTGGGTACTGGGTGTCCAGGTCAGTAGATGCTCCGCACTCCAAGCTGACTTGTTGCTGAGAAGGGAAGGGAAGCAAGTCAATGCTTGTTAGCTTCCTACCATGTACTCAGCACTGGTCTTTTTTGTACCATCCTGGCTGAGGCTGCCCAGCTAAGTGGGAAGGATCAGGGTTAATGAGGGAACCAGTGCTCTCGCAGGCACAGGCAGCACCCAGGTGCAGGGTCCTGCCACACCGCTTCCAGGCCCTGGTTCCCCTGAACAGCCTCCAGAACCCAGTCCTGCTCTGCCTGTGCAGGGAAGAGCATTTGGTTGAGGCTCCACGGGGAGGCTCTGCCAGCCCAGACCCCACGGCTTCCAGGCCCGGCACCGGCAGCCTTCCCTAGCATTGGAAAGAGCACGGGGTTGTTCTGTCGCCCTTTCATCAGCTCTGTGAGCTGACCCGTCTCACCACTGTCCCCTGTTGAATCTGTTTTGGGGTGGGGCAGCCTCTCCGAGCTTCCTGCCCCGTCACACCGAGGGAGCAGGGGTGCTCTGCAGCTTTCTCTTTCTGGGTGGGGCGGCCCCTGGGATGAGGGAGCACCGTCCTGGGAGTGAGATGGACTTGGGTTGAATTGTGGCTGAGTCTCTGGCCGCACGGCCTAGAGGGGTGACGTCCCTCCCTGGACCAGAGTCCTCGTGGTGAGGTGTGGTTGTTGGTGCTGGGGTTTTCACACGTCCTCCCGGTGGATATATACAGGCCGCCCTTCCTTCATGGGCTGTTCCGAGGTCGGCCAGGCACCCCTGCGAGGAGCTCCTGGAGCTTCCCGCTGAGCCCAGGCCTGAGACCGGGAGGAGGGTGCCCTGGAAGAAAGGGTCCCTGTTTCCTTGGTGACGGCAGGTGGGGAAAGGGGGCAGCAGAGCTCACTCTCCCCCAAGAGTGGTAACGGTGTGGAGATGAAGTCCCAGTTCCTCCATGAGGGGACTCGGGCCCCGCCTGCCACCTCTGGGTCCAGTTGCTGAGGCTGGACTGGATTCCAGCCACCCAGGGCAGCCCCTCAGCCAAGTGCATGTCGCCATGACAACACGTCACTCCAGCCTCCTGCTTGGGAGAGGCTTCTCTGGCCAGGGGATGGGGGTCACCTTGGCTAGAACAAGGCTGCTGGGTACCCTAAATGTGTTGCTTGAAATCCCCATGTAGTCACCGGCTTGTCTTGTGGGGCCTCAGCTGTGGTCCCTGTGCCCCACAGGGCAACCCCGGTGCCAGGGAGGCCCGGGCAGGCCACTTAGGGCCACCAGCTTCAGTGACCAGAGGCTGCTCTGACCTCAGCCCTGGCCAGCATCCTGCAGGCCCCAGACCTCCCCTGCCTCTAGTGTCTGGGGGAGAACCAAGCGGTGTGAGGTCAGGAGGTGCATCACTGTCCTCCAGAACACCTGCCTTTTACTGAACTACACGCAGCCTTCCAGAATTTTCCCCTTCAATCCCAGTCTGCACCCAGGAGTCAGAGGTCTCCTCCCTGCCCCACAGGCCCAGCCCCCAAATCTTTTCTTCACACTCCTGTTGCAGGAGTGTGAGTGTCCACTGGGCCATGGTCAGCATGCGCTCTGGCGAGAGGGAGAATTAGTCTGGTTCTGCCCAGCTCCCCCCAAAGGACACCTGGCACCCCTGCCCAGAGCCAAGCCATCTCTTAAGCCCTTCGCACTTAATACAGTTCCTGCCCAGGTGGACCAGCCTCTAAAGGCAGCCTGTGAGGGAGAACAGCTTGGGGCTGTGACTCGTGACTTATCCCAAAGGCTCCCCTCTCCCAAGCTTACTGCCTGGCACACAGACAGGTAGCCATCTCTGGTTCTGAAAATACCTGTGAGCACCTGCGGGGTGCCAGTTCCCTGCCAGGTGCCAGCATGCAGAGGTGCCTTGGACACACCCTGCTCCCAGGCAGAACCCAGTTACCTGGGAGTTGGACCCGCCAACCTAAGACCTGAACCATGCACCCCAGGGGTAGCAGGGAGAAAGGAGCAGAGAGCTCATGCCAGGGGAAGAGGCTTCAGGAGGGTGTCACCAAGGGGGTCCCCTCACCTGGGTTTACAGAGAGGAGAAAGAATTTACCCGACAAAGTATAGGGTCCAGGAAGGCATGTGAGGCCAAGAACTGATGTGGGCAGAAGTGCAGCAGCATGGAGGTGTCGGGCAGGTTCGTTGGGTCTGCACGTCCATTGCATTCACATCTGCAAAAACTAAAAGATAAAGTAGCAGAATGTTACATCCAGGCCTTGGAGCAGCCTCTGAGTGGGGAGTTTGTGACACCCAGACGTCAGGACATCTGGATGTCACCTGTTGGGTCCTGGTTGGCACCATGTTGTAAGCAGTTTTCATGCGCTATTGAGCATAATCAGTAATTATCTCTGGTTTGCTCCAGCCAATGGACAGACCGTTCCCCCTCTGAAGTGGCCAGTTCTGCCGGTGCCCTTCCACATGTCCAACATCCATCCTGTGTGAAGACTTCGAGGGCCTCCCGGGCATGTCTGAGTTTTGCCCTCAAAGTACAGTGCTAATGCTGTAATAGCAGCTCTTTATTCACTGACAGGCGCATCTCAGGCACTGTTCTGGAGACTTCCACCCTCACGGCAACGCTATGCAATAGACACGATTGTTATTCCCACGTTACCAACGAGGAGAGGTTAAATTACTTGCTCAGTGTGACTGAGCCGATAAAGCCTGAGATTCTAATGCAGGTTCTTCGGATTCAAACACATATTCTTTTCTTTGCACTATGTCAAATCACAGAGAGACCCCTGTTTTCTGAAAAACTGAAAATTAAATCTTGGTAAACGTGGTTCCCAGTGACTTAGTTGTGGTTTCACAGCTGCTTCCCCGCTAAAGTCTGATTTTTCTTTAATGGATGAGTTTCGGAGTAGATGACCTCGGAACACCCCTGCAGCTAACATGCTGACAGCTGCTTAGAGGCCCCAGGTGAGCAGTGGAAAGGCCCGTTGAGTGGAGCCACCGCCTCCTTGAGGCTGACCAGGGGACAGAGAGACGGGCCGCGACCACACCAGCCCGGGCCAGAGGGACCAAGCCAGGTGCCTGACCGGTGGTGGGCATCCGAGAAGGAAGGGTCTGTTAGTGTTAGAAGGAATTCCATGTAAGGAGAACTAAAATGATATTCCAAAGTTTTAGTTACAGCTCAAAACTCTTCTTGAATCCTGATCTCGTCCTTCACAGCTGATCTGTGACAGAGCACTTCACTGCAGTGATTATCCAACTGAAGCCAAAAATTCTCCACTTTCGGGGCTTCTCCTGATTCCTCTCTTTTTCTCAGTTCTGTTGGGAATACGAGCTCTTTGCATCTTACTCCTGGTGTTGGTATTTTCATGTTCTGTTTTGCATACGTGTTTGTAGAATGCATGCATTCGTTCATTTCACAAAGACTGTTTGCTATGGCTGTGTGTCCAGCCCTGAGCAGGTAGGGGGGAAGCGGGGGTTACAACTCGCACATGGGTGTGGCCCGCTGAGCCTGTGGTCCAGCAAATCTAACTACCTGTGCAGAGAATGCCATCGCCAACGCAAGACTGGCGGGTGGATGGCCGCAGCAGCACGCAGGAGTTGTCAGCGCATTCGCTGGCTAATGCAGGAGGGTTCAGACTCTACGTGAAGGGTGACCAAGGGATGTTGGCATATAAAATAAAAAGTGCAGGTTGCCTATTGGTTCTGCTGCTTGGCGGGTTCCCTGCGCGTCCCCCTGCAGCTGGCCGTGCCTTCTGAGAACGCTCCCCTTTGTCTCTGCAGGCCTCCTGCCCTGAGCGGCAGCCCTGTCATCTCCGACATCTCGTTGATCCGGCTTTCCCCCCACCCCGCCGGCCCTGGCGAGTCCCCCTTCAACACCCCCCACCCGTACGTGAGCCCCCACATGGAGCATTACCTCCGAGCCGTGCACAGCAGCCCCACGCTCCCCGCCATCTCTGCAGCCAGGGGCCTCAGCCCCGCTGACGGTGAGTAGGGCCTGGGTGCTGGGGGGCTGGGCCACTACGCTAACACCGGATTCCAGCCCCAGTCCCCTGGGATAGTGAGCAGGCTGGCGTTCCTCCCCACCACCCTGAACAATGGGTTTTGAAATAAATGATGGCGAAAGCCAAGAGAATTGGGGGTCCTTTTGTTTTTGCCCTCATTAAAGAGATGTTGGTAAACATCCTTTTGCGTGCAAATTATAGAATAACAATGGTAAGCTCTGTTTATCCACGTAGGTCCTATCGTAGATGAGAGCTATTAGGTTGCAATAAACCATAGTCTGCAGAAGCTGGTGTTAAGGGGCTGTTGTATCAGGGTGTGTCATGGGCCCCCAGAGCAGAAGGAAGGCAGTCTCTGCTTTATGCGCCCCTTGCAGGTCATCACATGGACTCCAAATGGCACACGGATGAGCACCAGTGGCTCTATGTTTCTCAGGTCAGATGCTTGAGAGAGGATTGATCAGCCCAGCTCAGGGATCAGATCATCACCCCTATCCAATTAATTTGAGATGGAAAAGGGCAAGATCACGTTGGTTTTCAGGTCTAAAATTTTATACTTCTAGCCCCCCACCCCACCCCACCAATGCATACATGCAAACACACGTGCACACATACACACTTGCACTGGACAGTAGTAAGCACATTCGGGAGCTGTCCCTGCGTGTGCTGTCATCCTAGGAAGTGCTCGCACCCCACCCCCAGCATGCAGTGGGCATTATCCATTGCCCCGTGCTGCCCCACAGTGCCCCGTTAGCTCCTTATGACTGCCATCTTCAAAAGCAACCAGGCTGCACCTTCTCAAAATCTGCCCACTGAAACCTTCCGTCTCAGCCCAGAGTTGGTTCCAGGCTAAAGATCCTCCATCGCCACCTCACCAAAGAGGATGTGTCCTCTCCCAGCTCAGCGGGACCAGAAGCTGAGGCTGAAGCTGAGGCCTGGATCTGAGACGGCTCAGGCTGGAGTTTTACAAAGAAAAGGATTCCAGCCTGCAAATGTACAGAAAGGCTCCTTGGAGCATCGGGCTCATCTTCCTGGCCGCGCCGTCTGCGCTTTGCCTGGTCATCATCCAAGAGAAACCAGACAAGGCGAGTAGTTGCAGCCACAGGACATGAAAATGGCTGGTCAGAATGTGGCCATTCCGAAACGGCCCCTTGGGGCTGGAACCCAGCTCTGAACTCTGCTTGGGTCCCCCGAGTGGCCTTGGCCGAGCTGGGGTGCCCTGGAGTGTTGTGCTGCCTCCGTGTCGAGCCGCTGTCTCCTGGAAAGTGGGCCAGTGCTTCTCCATGCCTTTCCTGACGCCTCAGCTGGCGATGGGCTCGCCTGGAGCGTGAGGATGCAGGACAGGTTCCAGATGCTGCCCCAGCCTTGAAGTTCACACGTGGTGTGCTGGGCTGAATGGTGCCCGAAAGAAGATGAGTCCACGTCCTAATCCCGAACCTGAGAGTGTTGCCTCATTTGGAAAAAGGGTCTCTGCAGATGTGATTAAGTTGGGGATTTTGAAATGAGATCATCCTGGATTATCCTCATGGGCCTTAAATCCAATGATAAGTGTCCTTATAAGAGACACATCGATGAGAAGACAACGCAAAGATGGGAGTGATATGGCCACAAGCCAGGGAAGCTGGCATCCCCCAGAAACTGGAAGAAACAAGGAATAGATTCTCCCCTAAAGCCTGTGGAGGGAACGTGGCCCTGCTGACACCTTGATCTTGGACTTCTGGCCTCCAGAACTGTGAGAGAATAAAATTTTGTTGTTTTAACAGCAGTTAGCACCAAGTCTGTACTAACTTGTTATAGCAGCCCTGGGAAACTAGTGCACATGGTAACAGGGTGACTAGGGAGGAGGCAGAATGTGGCCGCTCTCCTGAGGCCTGGGTCAGAGAGGGCCCTGAGCCTTGTCTGGAGGAGGGACGAGGAGAAGTGCCCTCCTGGAGATCTGATGAATCATGGACACTGCGATCTCAACCAACAGCGGTGTAGCCCGTGAACAGCAAGTGATGAGACGGGGCTGCCCTTGAAGGAGACACTTTCAGTGGATGGAGCACTGATGTTATGCCTGATTTCCATATAAACATCTATGTGACTCCTACCACACCCACATACCCTGGCCCCAGCCTCTTGAGACAGCAGGGATGGGTTCAGCACCAGCGAGGACTAATTTGCATGGCCCTGACCCCTGCAGGGCTGGAGCAGACACCCTGAGGCCTCGCTGGCCCTGGGCCAAGCTCCCAAGTGAGTAGAGATAGCATGTCAGGCCCCTGCATCAGCTGTGCCAGCCCCAGCGCCTGCCCACATGAGGCCCAGAAAGTTCATCAGTGATCTGAGGCAGTGTCTGCCAGACTGTGTGTGCACTGAGGACAAATGGGCACCCAGGAAGGCTTCAGGGAGGAGGTGGACGTGGCAAGAAGGGGGAGGGGAGGGCACTCCAGGCATGGACAGGGCAGGCAGAGGCCGTGGGGTGTCAGCCTGGCTGCAGGCCAGGCTCTCTCTAGAGGATACAGCAGGAGGGGTGAGGAGGAGGATGGCTGCTTCCGTTGACTGGCACACTGGGATCTCCTTTGGTGTTTGCAGGGACTAATAGCAGAGAGGCTGTGGGGCACAGGGGTGAGGAGCTCAGGCTCTAGGGTCAAACTCCCTGCTGTGTGACCTTGGGCACGATCTTAACTCTCTAAGCGCCGAAGTCCTCACCCTCTGGGGGGATGGAGGTGGTGCCCCTCAGCTCACAGTATGGTGGTGACAGTGAGATTAGAGCGTGAGTGTGCCTCCCTCAGCACTGTGCCTGCACAGACCCAGCAAGCGCCCAGTACAACATTGGCTGTACTATCGTTTTGAATAGTAATTTGAGTGGTGAGTATTATTACTCCCACTTTACAGATGGAAAACTGAGCCAGCTCAGAGAGGTGGCCCCTTCCCAGTTTTGCACACCCGGTAAAAGCCAGGACTCTCGAGGGGTGGGTTTGGTTTCCGAGCTCCCATTCTTTCCTGACAGCACACCCCCGAGTGCCAGGCCCCTCAGGATGCTCTGGAGTTGGTCCACCCTGCCTGTCTGCTAGGCCCCGAGTGGGGCTGAGCGCAGGGCTGGAGGCAGACAGCCCGGGGTCTGCGGCTGTGGGACAGGTGAGCAGCTTGATCTGGCCAGGCCCGGGCAAGCTCTCTCGCATGTTCGGGCGAGACCGACCTGGCCAGCCGTCTGGCCACCGTGATGCCTCCGTTTGCATCTTCTTGTTCCTTTGAAGACTCCGCGGGACCTGGACCCTGTTGGCCGGAGCTCTGGGCTTGTCTGGAGCCCCGAGGGGAGGAGGGAGTGTCTGTTGCAGCTTTGTGGAAAGGGAGGAATGGAGGAATGCAGAGGCCACTCTCTGGTCTCCCCGGCAGCAAAAACACACCCCAACCCACGCTGTCTGCTCAGTGCCACACGGGGCAGCAGGGGGAGGGGAACACAGGGCCCCAGGGGGCGGAGGATGGCACTGAGGGGGACTCCTCAGGCCCAGTACACGTTTCTCTTCTTTTTTGCCTGATTCTGATGGTCTCTTTCTCTCTCCCCCCTCCCACCCACAGTGGCCCATGAGCACCTTAAGGAGAGGGGACTGTTTGGCCTCCCTGCTCCAGGCACCAACCCCTCAGACTATTACCACCAGATGACCCTCATGGCAGGCCACCCCGCGCCCTACGGGGACCTGCTGATGCAGAGTGGGGGTGCCGCCGGTGCACCCCATCTCCACGACTACCTCAATCCAGTGGACGGTGAGTGCCAGGCTGGGGTGGGGACAAAGGGCAGGACAGGACATGGGAGCTGACGGTGCCTCCCTGGGGCCGAGGAGGGTGCTGGCTGCTCCTTTTGGGGGTGAGGAGACCTAAGGGGGATCTGGGATTTACCCCCGAATCCCTGCCACCACTGCTGTCCACAGGGACGAGTCTGAACAACACACACAAATACTTAGTGAGTCACCACAGGCCAGGAAGTGTTTTAGGAATTGCAGACACCCCAGGGAACAAAACGCATTAATCTCTGCCTTCATGGAGCCTACAGCATAGAGTGGAGAGACAAACAAAGTCGGGAACTGGGCAGGGAGCAGTGGGTGGAATGGGGTGCCATCTTGAATGAGGAAATCAGGAAGTCCTCACTGGGAGGATGATGTTCGAGCAAAGAATTGAAAGAGGTGAGCCATGCAGAAATGTGCAGGAAGAGTAATCCAGGCAGGGCAAACAGCAAGTGCAAAGGGCCTGAGGCAGCAGTGTGCCTGCTGAGCACAAGAACATCCAGGAGGCCGGTGTGCCTGGCAGCCAGTGAGTCAGGGGCAGGAGTGGATGGGGCCAGAGCTCCGGGGCTGCTTGTGCAGGCCAGGCGGGGCGTGGGGAGACATTGGCTTCCATGTAGGGTGAGATGGGGCCCTTGGAGTGGGTTGGACAGAGGATTAACGAGACCTGACTTATTCTTCAAAGGAATCCCATTGTGGCTGCTGGTCTGAGAATAGATTTAGGGGTATGGTGGAAGCAGGGGGTCCAGTTACTAGAGGTGGGAAGAAGTGGTCATATTTCAGATAGATTTTGGAAGTGGAGCCACAAGACTCGTTCCCAGATCGGATGTGGAGTTAGGGAGGAAAAAGGCATCGAGGACAACACCAGCGTCTTGGGCCTGAGCGGTTGGAGGACGGAGTTGACGGTAATAGAGCCAGGAGGCTGCAGGCGGGGCACGCTGGGCTCGGCAGGAGATCCAGTGTTCTGCACAGGTGAAGTTCTTGGTGCCTGTTAGACACCGAGTCCTTCCCTCCTGACAAACGCCGTCCTCCCAGCTGCTTTCACAGGGGCCCCTGCGGCCCCCGCCGTGAGCCCCGGGGGTCAGCGTGGAGCTCCTGTTGGGGGAGACAGAAGAGGGAAGGGCTAAGTTCCCACTCCCCCCGCCCCCGCCCCCACCAGTCAGTGCTGCTCCACCTCCTGGTCAGGAGCCCAGCCAGATCCCCAGGGACCCAGGCCAGGCAGTGGAGCCCGAAACCACACAAGAGCAGGCAGGCGGCTCCCGCGGCTCTGTTCTCAAGCCCTGCTTTGGACGGCTTCTTCACTCCCTGACGGCAGGGAGCAGACAGAGGCCTGCAGGGAGACCTGCCCACAGGGAAGTCCTGGTGCCTGTGGCCTGTGGGCAGTCCTGGGGGGCCTGGCAGGGCTGCAAGACTCAGGGGGGCCCTGTACCCCTCAGCCCCCACCTACCCCCCAGTACCTTGCCCTGGGCTTCCTATCCACACCGGCCACTGCAACTCTACCTTATTGGCTGGAGCAAAGCCGAGCCCCTCACTACCTAAGGCCTGGCTGAGATCTCGCCTCCTCCAGGAAGTCTCTTGGATGCCCCTCCCTCACACCCCTTCCTCTGGCTCCTATTCTCTCTCTCCCTCTGCCCTGCTCACCTCACACTTACAGGAGCCACCTCGAGTGGTTCCTGAGCCCCACTGAGTGTTCCCTGTTCCCCCACAAGAGTGATGCTGGAAGAGAACTGCTGTCCTCCCGACGCCAGCTCTTGTGGGTATTGTCCCATGTCACCCTCATCATGCCCTGAGGGGATCCCACAGCACAACAAAGGGATGCCACCAGAATTGGATCCCTCGCTCTGTCGCCCACCGCGCCATGCCTTCCCCAAGACAGTGTTTAGTCTAGGCGGAGGCACACAGCATAGGGTGTGAACTAAGGCCTGTCGGCCCCTAGCACACACGCACTCACGTGCTCTCCTCTTCCCTCCTTCTCTGAACAGCCCTCGGTGCTCCCATAGGGAGCGGGGACGGTGTCAGCACGTGGTGAGAGGAGGACTCAGGGGAGGTTGTGTGTACATGCTGCTTGCCAAAATCAAACCAGACAACGATGACAATGCAGTGCATAAAGGTCCCCGACATTGTGTTCCAATAGCCACGTCCAAACGTCAGATTCCTCCAAGCGGGGCCCGCCCTCCCGCCCTCCAAGGCCTCAGGGTGGGTGGCACCAGGCCAGCTGGACAGTGGGCAAACACACAGAGTCCATGACTGAGGGGTCTGGTCAGGCAGGTGTCCCCAGGGGGCAGGAGAGGCTGAGTCAGCAGGCATGAGCACCTGCCGTGTGCGTGTGTGAGAGAGAATCAGAATGAGCACTGCCTCTGTCCTGGGCTTTCCCACACATTCTCCCTGTGACGCCCCCTGCCACCTGCTGAGGCTGGAGTTATTATCGCTACTTTAAGATGAGCAGACTGGGGCTCCCAACGTCAAGGGACATGCCCAGGCCACAAGTCGGGGTTCCAAGCCCCACTCTGTGTGTCACTTGCATCATCGGCTCTTCCCTGGACACACCACCTCCAGGCAGCACAGCACATCGGGCCGGCTCCGTGAGCCCTGGCTTCAGGGAAGGCCCGCTGGGCCAGATGTGTTCCACCTCCGCCCAGAGCAGCTGGGCTGGAGCTGGGGTGCTTGCAAGGGTGGTGGTGAGAAGAGAGGCTGTGCAGTGAGGAGACAGGCTGTGCAGGGAGCTGCGGGGAGATCTAGACTGGCACCTGCCTGTGCCGTGTCCTCGCTGTGACACTGGGGCCCGGAGGTGGTGGTGGGACTGCACGGGGTCTGGCCAGTGAGCCCCAGCCCGGTGTACTGTGTGGATTAAACACTCTGAATAAGATCACATGTGTGAACTTGGCTCTGTGCCTGGCATACAGTAGGTGCTCAATTAATGCTAGTTCCAATCTCTTTCCACCAGTATCATTTTCCCTCTTTCAAATCTCCCATCTCCTGCAGGATTTTCTCTCTCAGTTGTCGGCACTGCTGTCCACCCCGTGCTGAAGCCCAGTGCCGCAAGTCCTCCTGGACACCTTTTCCTCTCCATCCTGTCCATCCCATCCCTCCCATCCCCCAGGCCTGCCATGGCTGACTTGTCAACCCTCCCAGCCATCCGGGTATTTGCCAGCCTCCCAGCGCTGCCTCAGCTCAGGCTCCCTCAGCCTCACGCAGCCTCGCATTGCTTTATCCCCTCCGCCATTCTGCGGTCAGCCCCTGTGGCTCCCATCACCCTCAGGGTAAAATTCCAGCTTTAGAACAAGGCTCCAGCGGCCACCCCTCCAGCCTCGTCTCTCCCCAGTTGCACCCTGCACCCCGCCACCCTGCTGCATCTGCAGGCTCCCAGACTTCTCCCCGTGCTCCTTCTGCCTGGGATGCTGTTCCATGCTGGCTTGCCTGGCTCAGTCCTGCACCGTGTCCTAGGACTCAGATCAGACGGCATCTCTCCCAAGACATCACCCGAGTCCAGCCCCTGCCCAACTGCATCAGCTTCCCCTGGGCTCCTGCACCTCCCTCGGTGCCCACCTGTGAGACCCGAGGCGCTCCGGCTGTAACTGGCCGGTAGTCTGTCAACAAACCGCAGGTCCAGAGCAGGGCTGCCAAGGAGCAGGCCCCTGTGTCTGCAGGGTGAGTGAGTGAGTGGCAGTCTCTAAAGAACCTGGGATAGAAAGATGCAGACTAATTAGAGAAGAAACTGCCAGGGCAGGCAGCTGTCGGCTTGCAGGAAGCCTTGAAGGGGCTGGAACACAGCAGCTTTGTTCTCAGGGGCGCCCCGCATTTGGCAGCGTCTGGGGGCTGAGCATCTGAGAACCACCGGGAAGGCGGGAGGAGTGAGGTGAGCTCACCAGTGGGCGTGAGAGCGCCCGTCTCACGTCAGCCGATTAACTCATCAGACCCACCCTCAGTCCGTCTCCACCTCCCGCCTTGGGAGCGTGATTGGCTTCAGGGCGCAGAGGGCGGCATCATGCTTCCTCCAGCCTCGCAGGAGCGGGCAGCTCGGTTTCTCGGGCTGAGGCGTGGGGTGGGGTGGGGGTTTTTCTGAACCCTGATGGATTTCAGCAGCAGATGATTTCTTCTCCTTTGTTCCCAATCAGTTCCAATCCAAAGAAATCAGAGTGGTTCCGCATGATGTCCTGTATTTGTTGTTGCTTAATGCATTTTTTTTCAAACCAGTTTAAACTAGAACCAGAACTTTTGCTTCCGCTTTTTAAAATGTTTTAGGCATTTCTGTTCAGTTCCAGTGCCTCCGTGGGTGTGTTGCTCACGTGCATGCCCCAGAGACTCCAGTGCTCACAGCCCAGGCCTGTGCCCGGCTGAGCCCGGACCTGCCTCGGGGGTGTCCCCAGCCCCTCCCCTCCCGTGGACTGTGGGAAAGCCTGCCAGCTCTGGTGTCTTCAGCTGGTCCCAGCTGTATGGGTCTGGGGAGAGACCCTCCCAGGGAGCTCTAGTCCAAAGTGAAGGTGTGAGTGGATCTTCTCGTCGACTCTCACAGAGAAAACTGTGCAGGCCTGGGGCCCGGGCAGCACAGCTCAGGAGACCACCTGTGGAAGGGTCCTGAGACTCCCTGAGGACATGTGTATTCCCATTGGGAAGCCCTCACAAATGTGACCATGACGTGTAAGCCCTATGTGGGTGCAGTGGGCATCCAGAACTTGTGGGAAGTTGGGGAGACCGGGCCTTCCCTCTTTGTCTGTGTGTTTGTGTGTGTGTGTCTCTCTCTCATACACACTCGTGCTCTCTCTCTCTCTCTCTCTCTCTCTCTCTCTCTCTCTCGCTCTCGCTCTCGCTCTCTCGTTCATTCTGGGGGTATTCGTTGAGCGCCTTCCATGTCCCAAGCACAGTTCTAGGTGCTGGGGACATAGCAGTGCGCAGCATGCCAAGTCCCACCCTCGTGGTGCTCAGGCTCCAGTGTGTAAGCTCCTTGGCCTGTCCTGAGACCACCCACCTACCCCAACCTCCTTTCTC